CCTTAATTACCCTAGACTCATGTGTTTCGCTACCTGACTTATACGCTTACAAGCTCACATCTCATTACCTCAATTATACTTACTTAAAGACTTACGCGACCTAGGTCAGAGCTTTTTATTGGGTCATTAATCCTTGAGGCCTTTTTGATCACTCTTATTTACGACTGGTATTGTGCACACTCGAGAAATAGTTACACGATCAATATGCTCGTATCTAATTTGCATTAAAAGAGAATACATTACTGATGTTAGTTGAGTAGTATAGCAAAGTTATAGCACAATAGTTCTTAAGAATTGTCTTTTGTCAAATGGTATTTCGGTGAAAAGTTGAATAAAATGGTTTATGCTAACTTTCCGCACCTTTTTATAAGCCTCTAGTCACCTTGTTTGCCTCATTTTGTCTTTGCACAAAAGTGGCCAATTTGGCGTACAAAAAGAACGCTTGGATGACGAGTGACTCGAGCAAGCATCAGAAGCGTCATCTGCTCGGAAGCCTTTCCGGCAGCGGCGGCGGCGGCATAAATGCCGACAACTATCCTCTGCTCGAGTCGGTGCGCTCGCGGGGCTCGGAGCCGGGGCACACGGCTCGGTCGTCGGAGGTGCAGTCGAGCCAGATCCAACGGACGAATGGACACGTCGTGATGCAGGCGCGTCACCGGCTCGGCGAGAACTCGAACGGCGCCCGAAACGGCGTGAACGGAGTCGTCGGCCATGCGGCCGGAGTGGGCGAGGCCTCGGACTTTTGGTCGTTGGCCAATCAGATGATGGGCGACCCGGGCTACACGGCGCTGGGGCTGGAGTTGGGCGACGAGATGGCGCGCCGCGCCGTCGACGGCTGGACGGGCGAGGAGGCCGAGGAGGCGGAGTTCGAGGCGTCGGGCGACGCGTCGGCCGGCCGGACCGAGATGCATCGTTGGGCCAAGTCGGGCGTCGGCAGTCAGGCCATCATGAGCGACGAGCCGCGGCAGATGGGCCGGTCAGGCCGGGCTCGATTCCCGTCGGAGGCGGGCGAGAAATCGGGTCAGCGGCACCAATGCGCCATCCTCGAGTACCGCTGGCCCTTCGTCACACTGCCCTCGTGGTATGTAGACCTGCGCGAAGAGATGACTGTCAACGGAGTCGTCATCTACACCGCCGGACAGGGACAGAGTAAGCTGGAAGGCCTTGACGACAAACCGGAGGTTGTAAGCTCGAGTCCGCCTGTTCAGTCTACGGGGCTGAGGGACTGACAGTTCACATTTCACGCAACCACACAACTTTGATCTACCGAAATCTATGTTCATCCAGCCTGGACTACCGTTCCCACCTCGCCTAGGTCGTATCCTCAACCCCGGCGGGACTCGGACCATGACTGTTCAGCGGGCTATCTCAAAACGGGAGCCACTACGCCGCAACGCCACCAGTGCTTTTGCGTCAGAGAGCAGATTTTCATATCATATGATACGAAAAACAATACTTAATTCTAAAAATACTTATTTTCCGTTCATAAGTAGGATTTCGAGACTATCAGTATAGCAATTGTTCCGTGTCATAAGGCCCAGGCGAGGTCTAAACAAACCTTTTGGGAAAGCAAGGCAGATTGAAATTCAATGGAAAGGTCAGCTCTACCAATGTGATTAAGGGGAAATTCACATACCACTCCTTCATCACTTTAAATGAAATGGTGTGAATACAACTCAATTAACTGATTTACAAGTAGTCTCAAAACACTACTTATAAACGAAACAAGCTGGGACTGCTCGTCTCGATAGCTACTTATATCGAAATTAAGTAATGTCGTAGATTGCAATGAAAAACAAGATTGTATAATCGAAAATCAAAAAAATAACAGTGTAACTTGCCTTAAATGTGGTAACTGCTAGGTGACCCAACGAGCACCCGGAGCCGTTTGGTGGATTGGCAACCTGCGTCGCCAAGATGCTCACCAACCGATCTCGAATATTTCTGACAGAGCTGACGATGACGATGAAAATGATGAGACAAGGTCAAAACTGCAGCGTAACTGAAATGCGAATAGCTTTTTGGAGACAGAGGCTAATATGAAGTCTGTACCATGGGAAGGCGTATTCATTTGTTTGGGCGCTAAAAGTCAGAAATTAAACCTTAACTCATCTTAAGCGAGCTGGGCAAAGTCTTTTGTTAAATATTTACTGGTGCTCTCTAATATTACTCATAACGACGTTAGACTAACGTCGTCAATAACAATGAAAAACACATATTTGCAAACTTGCCAATGCCATATGAAAGGTGTTCACCTTAATTCGTCTAAGCTGATAAGGGAATAATAGTTGAATTTTTCCACAATGACATGAATTTGTCGAAGGTGTGAAGACCACTATGGTGTGGCCTTTTGTGTGGTCGCAGTCTCCTTTCGTTGTATGGAAGTTGTTTTAACTTGTTTTAACAACTCGGTCATTTTGGTATCAATTGTATGCATACTCACTTCTAAAATCTGACCGGGGACGTGGTACATTCCCAAACATTCCGCCGGCATCGTCTGTGAGTCTTGCCATTCTAAGCACCACACAGCAACTCGTCAAAGAGACAAGTGAAGCCGATCATTTGATTAAACGTATGCTAAACAATTGTGGTATCTCCCCACAATTGTTTAGCACACGTTTGGTGAAAGGATCGGCTTCTCTTGTCTCTTTGACGAGTTGTTGTATGATGGTAAGAATGGCAATACTCAATGACGATACCGAATCTCTAAGTCTTCCTACCAACCTGACCATGTTGCGAAAACAAGGTCAAACGAGATGAATTAATGTATGCGAATAAAAGTTTCATAATCTCGAGTAGAAGCGTTGGGTGAAGAGATTTGAAGGTCGGTTCCACCAGAAAACGACGGCGGATTCCTCGTGCATAAGTGAACACAAACATGCACATACAAATACAGAGACAGACACACTCACATGCATCGAAGTTTACATATGACCGTAACTAACCAAATCACTTTATACTTGATCAAAAGAGGCCAGATGTAAAGTATGGGTACCACTTTTTAGGGATTTTCCGGTGAGTTTTCTTGACTCGTTAGCTTGAATTTGGTTGTGACGATGTCCGTCATATGACGGACGAAAGCTTAGCACGTTTTCACCAGAATCGAACGAGATTGCCTCGGAAACAGCGTCAGCATGAATCTTCCAATCAACAACCAATCAGCAGCTGGTAAAGAGGAAACCGCCGTCGTCTTCCGGTGGAACCGACCTTCGAATCTCTTCACCCTCAACACTTTCACTCGAAATGAAAGTAGGCTCAACAATTATGAAACAAGAGATTCCTCGAAACGCAACTTTTATTCGCAAGCATTTTTGTTTCATTTTTTTGGAGCTTGATTGTGAGAAGCTGATTTCCGGCCGACCACCCTTCTCGGTTGAGCGTTCCAGCGAAGAGTTTCTAACCGATAGATTATGATTTATGCGGTGTTGGGGTGATTTTTACCTTCTTCTCAAACTTCATGTTGAATAGATTCGTCGATTGATCCAACTGCAAGACGATCACTGTTTGGCTGTAATACGACGTTCAGGTTGGCGAAGTCCACGAGGCATCCTCCCTCGTTTCGGATGAAAACAGAATGAGCTTTCTAGAAGTGGGTTGCCCTCGTCGTCGCAAATTGGTCTTGTTGTCAGGGCGACTATGTAGAACGCACCTATTCCGAAGTCGTCTGCCAGAGTAGTTGTCATGATTCCCGCATCTGACAGTGGACTTGACACATTCCCAAACGTTTCGCCGCACAAAGCTACGAGTTAGTCAAAGAGACAAGTGAAGCCAATCCCTCGACAAATTTTCTGCCGAAAACGGTCACACAATCACTGTCTCTTTGACGAGTTCGTGGATCGGTGCGGAGAATGGCAAAACTGACTGATCATGCCGACTACGTTTGAGAGTGTACCAAGTGCACTGTCTGATGCTGGGAATCATGACAACTACTATGGCAGACGATTTCGGACTAGTTGCGATCTACATAGTCGCCCTGACAACAAGGGCAACCCACTTCTATACATCGAAAGGAGACTGCAACCATACCAGAGGCCACAACATCTTGGTCTTCATATCTTCAAGAGTGAGCTTTCGTCCATCACATGACGCATATCCTCAGAACTGAAACACATTCTTGCAAAAGTCTCAAGTTAAAAGTTTCAAAACCTGTCAACTGAAGATCTTTTGTACGAAGGAGTTGCAGCTTTGATGATGATGATGATGATACAAGCCCAGCCGGTTTTCACCTGAACCGAGGCAGGAAGTCTCGTGGACTGCGAAAACCCGAAGGTCGAGTGGAGCCAATCCGGGCCGGAATTAGCCGTCGTCTTCTAGTCAGATCAACGTTCGAAACTCTTCTTCATGCACTTTCATGCCAAACAAAATTCGCCTCGACACTATCGTCTTGAAAGATTCCTCGAAGCCCAGTTTCACTTGGCATCTTGTGATTTTTGTCGTGGTGGCTAAGACAAAAGTTCCCTGACAGAACAATGCGTCCAGGTCTTATTTGCAAAATTTGGCCATCTCTGTTGGCTAGCAACGAGGTCAATTCGTGAATCTCTTCAAACCGAATTCGAGGATTACCCGTAGCTTCGGTACATGCTGGTTCGGAAAAGCTGTTTGGCGCTTAAGCCGAGAATGTCTGTGACGGTTTTTGGGTCGAAGTAATGCCGGCCCTGGCGAATAGTCAAACAGGGGCATCCGGACCTGACTCTGTCCAATGCCACTCTCTCTCGTTCTATCTGATACT